GGGGAGGAGGGAGGGGAGGGTAATGTGTTCCCCGTGTCCATCAATAAAAATGGGTTGAGGAAGGACGGGAGCTTAATGTGTTCCCCGTGTCCATCCATAAAGATGGGGGGAGGAAGGAGGGGAGCCTAATGTGTTCCCTGTTGTCATCCATAAAAATGGGGGGAGGAGGGAAGGGAGCGTAATGTGTTCCCTGTGTCCACCCATAAAAACGGGGGAAGGAGGGAATTAAGGGAGCATATTGTGTTCCCTGTGTCCATCCATAAAATGGGGGGGAGGAGGAAAGGGAGGGTAATGGGTTCCCTGTGTCCATCCATAAAAATGGGGGAAGGAGGGAAGGGAGCGTAATGACTGTTCCCTGTGTCCCTCCATAAAAATGGGGGGAGGAGGGAAGGGAGAATAATGTGTTCCCCGTGTCCATCCATAAAAATGGGGGAAGGAGGGAGGGGAGCATTATGTATTCCCGGTGTCCATCTATAAAAATGGGGGAAGGAGGGAGGGGAGCGTAATGTGTTCCCCGTGTCCATCCATAAAAATGGGGGGAGGAAGGAGGGGAGCCTAATGTGTTCCCCAGTAACCAAAAGGCCTAAGGTGATGATATTTGGCCAGAAGCATGCTGGGATCTGTGTCCATCCATAAAATTGGGGGGGAGGATGGAAGGGAGCGTAATGTGTTCCCTGTGTCCATCCATGAAAATGATGGGAGGGGAGTGTAATGTGTTCCCTGTGTCCATCCATAAAAATAGGGGAAGGAGGGAAGGGAGCATAATGTGTTCCCTATGTCCATCCACAAAAATGGGGGAAGGAGGGTGGGGAGCATAATGTGTTCCCCGTGTCCATCCAGTCCCCTCGCAATCTGTTGATCTTCATCAAAAAGTTTATACAAAGGTCAAGTATGAGAAACCTCCGATAAGTTCATATGTCAAGGTCAATGTTTAAGGTCACTTTTGCCATTTATAGGTCAACCGTTGCTATTTTATGAACAGACTCATTGTCATCATACAGTCTATCAACATCGAGGGCAGAAGGGCACACAACATCTTACTCTTGTTTTCTAGTTTATTTCTCAACTTCTAACAGGTCCAACATGTTAGAAAGTTGAAAAGAGTTGATTTTGATATAACTATTGCCTCTTTGGGGTTTACCCAGGCAAAATTACTTCAGGTGAATTTGACCTGAAATTGACCTGAATTTACGTGAGAAAATCACCATGAAAGCAAAAAAATGACTGACTTTGACCTGAAATTAACATCAAGGATTTTTAGCTCACCTGGCCCGTTCGGCGTCCGTCCGGCGTCAACTTTTTACTTTAAACAACTTCTTCCCAGTAACCAAAAGGCCTAAGGTGATGATATTTGGCCAGAAGCATGCTGGGATGAAGGGCTACCAAGTTTGTTCAAATAAATGACCTTCATCCATTTTCAACGTCACAGGGGTCAAATATGTTAAAATCTTTAAACAACTTCTTCTGAATAACCAAGAGGCCTAGGGTGATGATATTTGGTCAGTAATATGCTGATATGAAGGACTACCAAGTTTGTTCAAATAAATGACCTTGACTTATATTCAAGGTCACAATGGTCAAATAAGTTTAAAACCTTTAAACAGCTTCTTCTGTAAAACCGAAAGGTACAGGGTGATGCTAATCAGTCAGAAGGATGTTGGCATGAAGGGCTACCAAGTTTGTTCAAAGAAATGACCTTCACTCATATCAAGGTCAAAAGGGTCAATTGTCTTAAAAATCTTTAAATAACTTCTTCTGTATAAACAAAAGGTCCAGGGTGATTGCTTGTTGATGTGAATGACCTCGACACACTTTCATGGTCACCTCTGGCCCATAGTGCATAAATCTTAAAAAGTCATCTTCTCAATAAACAAAAGGTATAAGGTGGTGATATTTGGCAAGTTGCATTCTGGGAGGAAGGGCTATGAAGTTTGTTCAACTAAATGTCTATGTTTGACTTTCAAGGTAACAGGGGTCAAATGTGTTTTAATTGTTTAACAGGTTTTTCTGAATGACTTGAAGTCAAGACACTGATATTTTGCCTGTAGCTTTATCTTATTCCACTTTTAAGGTTATAATTGTGAGATTTATACCAGGGGGGCGATGCAGGCCCATTGGGCCTCTTGTTTCATGTCAATGTTCACCTGATATTGACTTTTTTGCTCTTTTTAGGTAAAATTGATCTGAAAATTTGACATGAAGAAATTTTGCCTGTATGTGATTGGGGAAGTAGAGGAATTCCTGTATAATAATGAGTAGCATAGTCATCACTGTGTTGTATGGGAGAGAGAAGTAATCTACCATGATCAAGTCTGTAAGATAAATATTTGATGTTCTGTGTGGTGTAGAATAGCATTTGTATATGTTCTCTGACAATATCAAGTGTACATGCCTTTTTACGTCTCAGCTCCTGGTCCTAGTGAAATGACTACACGTCTGTATCATAAGCTCTATAATGTTATTAGTCCCCTACCGGGAAACCGGGGGGACTATAGTTTTCCCCTCCGTCTGTCCGTACGTCTGTCCGTCTGTCCGTCTGTCCGAAGAGGTTTGTCAGCACTCTAGAGCCTTCATTCTTTCATGGATTTTAATCAAACTTTACACACATGTAAAGAATTAAAATATCTTCAACAAGTTCGAGTTTCAAGGTCATCGGATCAAGGTCAAGGTCAATATTACTATAAATAGAAAAACTTTGTCAGCACTCTAGCGTCTTCATTCTTTCTTGGTTTTTAATCAAACTTCACACAGTCATAAAGAATTAAAATATCTTCGACAAGTTCGAGTTTCAAGGTCATCGGATCAAGGTCAAGGTCACTATTACTATAAATAGAAAATCTTTGTCAGCACTCTAGCGTCTTCATTCTTTCTTGGATTTTAATCAAACTTCACACACTCATAAAGAATTAAAATATCTTTGACAAGTTCGAGTTTCAAGGTCATCGGATCAAGGTCAAGGTCACTGTTACTATAAATAGAAAATCTTTGTCAGCACTCTAGTGTCTTCATTCTTTCATGGATTTTAATCAAACTGCACACACTCATAAAGAATTAAAATATCTTCGACAAGTTTGAGTTGGACAGGTTCGAGTTTTAAGGTCAAATGGTCAAGGTCACAGTTACTATAAATAGAAAATTTTATTTAACATTCTTCCTTGCCTGTTTATCAAACTTCACACACTTGTAAAGATACCTTTACAATCAACAAATAAGATTTCTTAGTATTTTTATTCCCTTACCGGTGAAACTGGGTGGGGGTGGCAGGGAGGGAGAAGAAAACAAGAATACCTAAAGTTTTCCTCGCTGTCTGTCCGAAGAAGTTTGTCAGCACTCTTGCGCCTTCATTCTTTCCTAGTTTTTAATCAAACTTCACATTATTGTAAAGAATTTAAATATCTTGGACAATTTCAAGGTAATCGGGGCAAGACAAGGTCACTATTACTATTTTAGAAAATCTTTGTCAGCACTCTAGTGCCTCATTCTTTCATGGATTTTAGTCAAACTTCACATTATTGTAAAAAAAAATAATATATTGGACAAGTTCAGGTTTCAAGGTCCTCGGATCTAGGTTGAGGTCACTGTTGCATCTTAATAGATTGCGGGGGCCGGTAGGGGACATGTTTTGCTTCAGCAATACTCAGTATGCTTGTTTTTCTAGGCTATATCTCATGTATGTTTCACTCACAATCTCCAAAGTTTGTATGTGAGTTTCAATACATAAACTTTAAATATTCTATAACAATTATGGAACAAGTTATTTCAAGTTATTTTTATCTCTCTTGTTGGCTAAAACGGTAGTTGTTATTCCCTGCTTAATGTTCAGCATTTAGGGGAATGGCAACAACTGGTTCACCTGTTGTCAGTATAATGTGACCAGGTGGGATGCTGTGATGGGTGCCCTTGGCATGGTTTGGTTTATTTTTTGTTTAACGTCCTATTCGGCACGGTGTTTCAGTGAGATAGCACTATAAAATTGGCACCAGCACTTACACAACACACATGGAGGCACGTCCTTTAATGACCTTAGATGTTAACAGGACGTTGAGCAAAATGAACCAAACCAAACCAAACCAAACCCGGTGGTTAACACACACTAAGTCTTGGTGAAAGGGGAGTGTGTTATCCGCCCACTACACCACCTGACCTGTAAGGGGAGCGGCTTATCCACCCACTACAGCACTTGACCTGTAAAGGGAGTGGTTTATCCACCCACTACACCACCTGACCTGTAAGGGGAGTGGCTTATCCACCCACTACACCACTTGACCTGTAAGGGGAGTGGCTTAACCACCCACTACACCACGTGACCTGTAAGGGGAGTGGCTTATCCACCCGCTACCCTACCTGACCTGTAAGGGGAGTGGCTTATCCACCCAATACACCACCTGACCTGTAAGGGGAGTGGCTTATCCACCCACTACTCTACCTGACCTGTAAGGGGAGTGGCTTATCCACCCACTACACCACTTGACCTGTAAGGGGAGTGGCTTAACCACCCACTTCACCACCTGACCTGTAAGGGGAGTGGCTAATCCACCCACTACACCACTTGACATGTAGGGGGAGTGTGTTATCCGCCCACTACACCACCTGACCTGTAAAGGGAGTGGCTTATCCACCCACTACACCACCTGACCTGTAAAGGGAGTGGCTTATCCACCCACTACACCACTTGACCTGTAAGGGGAGCGGCTTAACCACCCACTTCACCACCTGACCTGTAAGGGGAGTGGCTTATCCACCCACTACACCACCTGACCTGTAAGGGGAGTGGCTTAACCACTCACTACACCACCTGACCTGTAAAGGGAAGTGGCTTAGCCACCCACTACACCACCTGACTGTTAAGGTGAGTGGCTTATCCACCCACTACACCACCTGACCTGTAACCCATGTATTTGAGGTCTATGTTTAGTTTTGATACAAAGTTTGGCTGGAGTTGGGGGACCATGTATTGTCCACAGTAATCTGTTGTAATCATGTTATATTTGTGTTTGTAGACGGCGTGTACAGGACTCCGCCCTCTAGTGACTGTTACCCTAAAATCCCATCCCAGCCAATCAGCTACAACGATGCCGCGGAACTGATGAGGTAGTCTTTACATGTATATATAGCTCAGAAGTGTATTTACTGTCAAAAGAATTCACCCTTATTAATATATGATATGGAAACATAAAATCTCTTTTGAAAATACTAATAGCTAATTGAGATTTCAGAAGTTAAAGAATGAATTAAAAGATATTTTCAATTTGGTTCTAAATCATTTGTTTTTAACAGGGACATGCGAGGTCAAATAGCTCCCAACAAATGGTTTGGTGGACTAAACATTACTTACAGACTGGGACCAGAATATCTTAATGACAGGTAAGTATTGTCCTCTATTCGTTGCACTGGTTACCTGTACGATACAGGTCGCAGTACAAAATTCTGGTGTACACATACAAGGCACTGAATGGAACAGCTCCTCAGTACCTACAGGTTCTTGTTACTCTGTATCAGCCGTCACGATCACTGCGGTCGGAGTCAGAATCTTTGTTGTGTGTCCCAAAATCTCGTACTGTGACCTACGGAAACAGATGTTTTGGAAGGGTTTCGGCTACGTTGTGGAAAAGCTTGCCATCTGCAATTAGAAAGTCCAATACCCTGGCCAAGTTCAAGAGGGACATCAAAACTCACCTCTTCACGTCTGCATTTTAGAATCTTTGCAAAGACGTCATGTAAATACCACCCTTTTATTTGTTCAATCATGTGCACATTGCTTGCTTAAATGTATAAAAGTGATTGTAAACCTTTGTTTTTTTTTGTTTTCACAATTATAACCATTACTATTATCCATATGTTGTAAAGCACTTTAGAGTAATTTTACAAATTATATAGGGCGCTATATAAATGTTGTATATTATTATTATTATTATTAAGTATTAAACATATACATCACCATTCTTTTTGTAAAAAGTTAGTTTAACTCATTCACCCTTGAATTTTCGTAATAAACGATTCCAACCGTTAAATTGGGAGAGTTCAAATGTGTCTTCAGGGGTGAATGAGTTCATGTTCTAGTTCACCAACCCAAGTTTGTACTTTGAATACATAATATAGCACTGTGTATATTTCAGGACTTGTATTATATAATATATAGCACTGTGTATATTTCAGTCCTTGGATATATATATATAGCACTGTATATTTCAGGACTTGTATTATATAATATAGCACTGTGTATATTTCAGGACTTGTATTATATATAATATAGCACTGTGTATATTTTAGGACTTGTATTATATAATATAGCACTGTGTATATTTCAGAACTTGTATTATATAATATAGCACTGTGTATATTTCAGGACCTGTATTATATAATATAGCAATGTGTGTATTTCAGGACTTGTATTATATATAATACAGCACTGTGTATATTTTAGGACTTGTATTATATAATATATAGCACTGTGTATATTTCAGGACTGTGGAGCTAACGGTCAACAACAAGGACGACAAACGTAACATTTCCAACCTGATAGCAGTGATAGAGGGAAAATACGAAAAAGGTGAGGAACGCTGTGTTAAAAGTGTAAAGTGTTCAGTTGTTTTTGTCCAGTTCTGTCATTTTGTGATGATGGTAGGTTTACCTCACATGACAATAAATAAGTGATGTTCACTTTATATCATGTGTTCAGGACCGCTGTGTTTCACTTGACATGCCTTAATTATATATAAGTCATCCTCGATATCCAGGGTTTGCACTCACTTTTGCTCTTCGATCTGCACCCCTGGAATATGTCATAGCAAAATTGAAGGCTCGGTGTATGCCACCTTGTTGATGAGACGAGAAGACTAGTTTGATCCTTTGATGTACATCAAAAGTATCTCGCGGTCACGTAACTGTAACGGTAAAACCTGTTGGCTTTGAAGTCGGGTGTCGCTCCTCTGTAATCTTCAAAGGACAGGTATCAGCCTAGCGATTGGTCAGGTTTTCTTACCTAAGACCAATCAAATAGCTAGCCGGATGCCTTCAATTTTGCTATGACATCTTCCAGGGGTGCAGAGAGTGGAAGTGAGTATAACCTCTCGATATCGAGGATGGTCTTCAGTAGGATTGTGTTCCTCTTGCTGAAACCTCAAGTTCTATCAAGCCTCAAGTTCTATCAAGCCTCAAGTTCTGTCAAGCCTCAAGTTCTATCAAGCCTCAAGTTCTGTCAAGCCTCAAGTTCTGTCAAGCCTCAAGTTCTGTCAAGCCTCAATGTGGAGTGCTTATGAGCTCACCTGATAAAGAGATATCTGTTGTGTGTCCCGTCAGCCCTTATATTTGTCTTTAAGCAATGTCTTCTCTAGATCTTTAAGATGTATCAATACTTGATTTGTAACTTGCTGGAGTGGAGAACTATTCAGTTTGTTAAAACAAACGACCTTCACAAACTGGTGTAAATAGCTATCACACTTGGTGACTTTTTTATCTTGCTTATATATTCAAAGAGTAGTAGAGCTTAAATACTCACCCCGGTATCAATGCCTGTATAAGTTTTGGTGATAGGGCTGAAATTCATTGATATAACCTTCAATATCTGTACTAGGATGCTGATATTTATATTATCCAGTAGCATACTGGATGAATGACCTTGACCCTTTCAAGGTTGCAGGGGTCAAATATATTCAAACTTTTCAACAGCTTCTTCTGAATAACCAAGAAGTTTAGGGTGATGGTATTATGCCAGAAGAATGGTGGGATGACGGGCTATTTAGTGTGTTCAAATGAATGACCTTGACCCTTTGTAGGTTGCAGGGTCAAAAATATTCAAAATTTTAAACAGCTTCTTTTGAATAACCAAGAAGCTTAGAGTGATGGCATTATGCCTGTAGCCTGGTGGGATGACAGACTATTAATTCATTCACCCCTGAAATTTCATTATGAACTATTCTAGCCATTGAATTAAAAGAGTCCAAATGTGTCTTCAGGGGTGAATGAGTTAAGTGTGCTCAAATGAATGACTTTGACCCACTTTCAAGATCATGGGTCAAAATATTTCAAATCCTTTAAACAGTTAAATTACCAAGAAGCCAAGTATTATCATGTCTGGCCAGTAGCATGTGGTGTATATGTCCATAATCTCTGTCTGTCCTTCCTGTGTTATCTGTCATCTGTCAGTCTGTCTCTCCACATCTGTTCGTCTCTCTGTCCTCCCTGTGTTATCTGTCCTCAATCGGTCTGTCTCTCCCCATCTGTTCATCTGTCTCTCCTCCCTGAGTTATCTGTACCCTGTCGGTCTGTCTCTCCCCGTCTGTTCATCTGTCTGTACTCCCTGTGTTATCTGTCCTCTGTCGTTCTGTCTCTCCCCGTCTGTTCATCTGTCTCTCCTCCCTGTGTTATCTGTCCTCAATCGGTCTGTCTATCCCCATCTGTTCATCTGTCTCTCCTCCCTGAGTTATCTGTACCCTGTCGGTCTGTCTCTCCCCATCTGTTCATCTCTCTGTCCTCCCTGTGTTATCTGTCCTCTGTCTGTCTGTCTCTCCCCGTCTGTTCATCGGTCTGTCCTCCCTGTATTATCTCTGTCGGTCTGTCTCTCCCCATCTGTCCATCTCTCTGTCCTCCCTGAGTTATCTGTACCCTGTCGGTCTGTCTCTCCCCATCTGTTAATCTCTCTGTCCTCCCTGAGTTATCTGTCCCCTGTCGGTCTGTCGCACCCCGTCCGTTCATCTGTCTGTCCTCCCTGTATTATCTCTGTCGGTCTGTCTCTCCCCGTCTGTTCATCTGTCTGTACTCCCTGTGTTATCTGTCCCCTGTCAGTCTGTCTCTCCCCATCTGTTCATCTCTCTGTCCTCCCTGTGTTATCTGTCCTCTGACGGTCTGTCTCTCCCCGTCTGTTCATCTGTCTGTACTACCTGTGTTATCTGTCCCCTGTCGGTCTGTCTCTCCCCATCTGTTCATCTGTCTGTCCTCCCTGTGTTATCTGTCCTCTGTCCGTCTGTCTCTCCCCGTCTGTTCATCTGTCTGTCCTCCCTGTATTATCTGTCCTCTGTCGGTCTGTCTCTCCCCATCTGTTCATCTGTCTGTCCTCCCTGTGTTATCTGTCCCCTGTCGGTCTGTCTCACCCCGTCTGTTCATCTGTCTGTCCTCCCTGTATTATCTGTCCTCAATCGGTATGTCTCTTCCCGTCTGTTCATCTGTCTGGCCTCCCTGTGTTATCTGTCCTCTCTCGGTCTGTCTCTCTCTGTCCTCCCTGTGTTATCTGTCGGTCTGTCTCTCCCCATCTGTTCATCTGTCTGTCCTCCCTGTGTTATCTGTCCCCTGTCGGTCTGTCCTCCCTGTATTATCTGTCCTCAATCGGTATGTCTCTCCTTATCTGTTCATCTGTCTGTCCTCCCTGTATTATCTGTCCTCAATCGGTATATTTCTCCCCATCTGTTCATCTGTCTGTCCTCCCTGTGTTATCTGTCCTCTCTCGGTCTGTCTCTCCCCGTCTGTTCATCTGTCTCTCCTCCCTGTGTTATCTGTCATCTGTCAGTCTGTCTCTCCCCGTCTGTTCATCCGTCGGTCCTCCCTGTGTTATCTGTCCTCTGTCGGTATATTTCTCCCCATCTGTTCATCTGTCTGTCCTCCCTGTGTTATCTGTCCTCTCTCGGCCTGTCTCTCCCCGTCTGTTCATCTGTCTCTCCTCCCTGTGTTATCTGTCATCTGTCAGTCTGTCTCTCCCCGTCTGTTCATCCGTCGGTCCTCCCTGTGTTATCTGTCCTCTGTCGGTCTGTCTCTCCCCGTCTGTTCATCTGTCTGTCCTCCCTGTGTTATATGTTATCTGTCGGTCCATCTCACCCCGTCTGTTCATCTGTCTGTCCTGTGTTATCTGTCCTCTCTCGGTCTGTCTCTCATCGTCTGTTCATCTGTCTGTCCTCCCTGTGTTATCTGTCGGTCTGTCTCACCCCGTTTGTTCATCTGTCTGTTCTCCCAGTGTTATCTGTTATCTGTTATCTGTCGGTCTGTCTCACCCCGTCTGTTCATCTGTCTGTTCTCCCTGTGTTATCTGTCCTCTCTCGGTCTGTCTCTCCCCATCTGTTCATCTGTCTGTCCTCCCTGTATTATCTGTCCTCAATCGGTATGTCTCTCCCCGTCTGTTCATCTGTCTGTCCTCCCTGTGTTATCTGTCATCTGTTGGTCTGTCTCACCCCGTCTGTTCATCTGTCTGTCCTCCCTGTGTTATCTGTCATCTGTCGGTCTGTCTCTCCCCGTCTGTTCATCTGTCTGTCCTCCCTGTGTTATCTGTCATCTGTCGGTCTGTCTCTCCCCGTCTGTTCATCTGTCTGTCCTCCCTGTGTTATCTGTCATCTGTCGGTCTGTCTCTCCCCGTCTGTTCATCTGTCTGTCCTCCCTGTGTTATCTGTCATCTGTCGGTCTGTCTCTCCCCGTCTGTTCATCTGTCTGTCCTCCCTGTGTTATCTGTCATCTGTCGGTCTGTCTCTCCCCGTCTGTTCATCTGTCTGTCCTCCCTGTGTTATCTGTCATCTGTCGGTCTGTCTCACCCCGTCTGTTCATCTGTCTGTCCTCCCTGTGTTATCTGTCATCTGTCGGTCTGTCTCACCCCGTCTGTTCATCTGTCTGTCTTCCTTGTGTTATCTGTCATCTGTCAGTCTGTCTCTCCCCGTCTGTTCATCTGTCTGTTTTCCCAGTGTTATCTGTTATCTGTTATCTGTCGGTCTGTCTCACCCCATCTGTTCATCTGTCTGTCCTCCCTGTATTATCTGTGTTATCTGTCCTCTGTCAGTCTGTCTCTCCCCGTCTGTTCATCTGTCGGTCCTCTCTGTATTATCTGTCCTTAATCAGTCTGTCTCTCCCCGTCTGTTCATCTGTCGGTCATCTCTGTATTATCTGTCCTTAATCAGTCTGTCTCTCCCCGTCTGTTCATCTGTCTGTCCTCCCTGTGTTATATGTCCCCTGTCGGTCTGTCTCTGTTCTTCTGGTCCAGTCTTTCTCTTCCCATCTGTTTGTCTGGCACAGACTTGTAAGCAAGGTTGTTGACAGTGACAGATTAATGCTACAGACATTTGCCCTTCAAAACATCTAGGAATAAGATGTTACAAGGCCGAGGGGACTGGGGAGACTTTCTACTGAAGGGTTGTTGATCATGTGGTCATCCAGATTGATTTTTAGGGTGTATAATAAATAGGGCCACTTACTTCCATATATTCCCTCTAGTAGCAGTTCCGTCTCGGGTCTAGACGATTGAGGACAGTTACTGGCGGAAGGTGATAATATTCACTGAGTGTACAGATTAAAACATCTGCTGGGCCCATCACAGAAACTTTACCATATAACCTAAAAAGGCCAGAGTTGTACAGACTTTAGCATTGTTGTTGCCATTTTTTCTTTCCAGGCTCAGAAATTTATCAAAAGATATAAATATATATCCAACTAATACTATAAAATAATGGTTGCTACATGCTTTTGCTATTTTAACATGAACACATTTAGTATCAATTGGTACATGTTTTGTGGCCTGTTAATTTGTACTTAAGTGAGTACAATATTTTTTATTTATTCAAGTGTATATGTTACTACTGTACTGTTCAATGAAAACCATAAAAATAAATACAGCAAGACCTGATCTAAAGACCATCGCTATTTAAGCAATGGATGTTTTAGCAAATGTTGTTATGGTCCTATAACACACATTGCTACATGATGACAAACTTAATAAAGCCTGGTAGGTTTGTAGTTACATTTTGATAGAGTAGTTAGGCTTAATTTAGTTATTTCGAGCAGTTTTTAAACAGCAAATCAAGTGTTGATAACAATGAGATTGATGACGTCACAATAGAGATTGATGACGTCACAATAGAGATTGTTGACATCACAATAGAGATTGATGACGTTACGTTAAAGATTGATGACGTTACAATAGAGATTGATGACGTTACAATAGAGATTGATGACGTCACAATAGAGATTGATGACGTTACAATAGAGATTAATGACGTTACATTAGAGATTGATGACATTACAACAGCAAATGTTGTTATAGTTTGATAACAACATTTGCCTTCGCAATATGCATTACAATGGAATGATGCAGAGCAAATGTAGATATTAAAGTATCTGTGTTCAATGAGCACTATTACAACTCTGCATTACTGTGATTATCATATAGCTGAACCTGTATTGACTCATCATTCACCCCTCAAATTTCAAAATGAACGCTTCCAACCTTTGAACTGGAAGAGTTCAAATGTGTCTTCAGGGATAAATGAGTTAAGAGACATCTTTATGAACTTCCTGAAGGTGGTCTCTGTATACAGGTTTGGTTGTTTACAGGGAGTTTCGATACAGTATGGCGACATATTGAAGTAGATGTGAAGCTGTATATTACCAGATCTTACGAACGTTTGTTTCAGATAAATATATCATTGTGGGAGCACACATAGATTCCTGGACGAAGGGAGCTGTTGACGCAGGGTCAGGCTACGCTGTCATCTGGGAACTCGCACGCGCATTTACGTCCAAAGTGGAGAAAGGTGCTTATCAGGGATGGTAGATAGAAATAAATGTTTTAGGGTTTTTACAGACAATCACAAGGATTAAATTTGTAATGAGGTCTTGTACAATTACTTTTTTTTTTATCCTTTAAAAGAAGTTCTGAAAAATTGCATCGTTGTCATTTATCTGACCCTTGACATCTTTAAATTACAGCTACTGCAAAATTGGGAATTCAAGTTTCCTAGTTGTAGAAGTTTATAAAATTACTTGATATTTTGGATTAGACTTTTAAAGTCATAAAACATGTCAATAATGCATTCTGTTTCACAATTTTGATGTTTGAAAATTCCTAGTGTTCCCATTTTTGCCACTGACTTTTCATTTTCCAAAATACCCACAGATAATTTTCTAAATGTATGTATTGATCCACTATGTAATATATTAATGAAATATATCCTTGCACTATGAAATAAGCATACTACGTTGCCCTGTGCAATGTACACCAGTATTCTGACTGGGTTGGGTCGCATGCTTCGGTCTAAGGATATAACACTTCACCTCACCAAACCATCTGGGATCCGTACAGGGTCTTTAAGCTGTTGTTAGGCTGTAAAATTGTAAAGAACAAACAGATATTGTCAAAGGAAAAAAAATCCACTCTACACTCTACATAAAGTTTGAAGAATGAAATGGGACTTTAAGTTTGATGTTGCGGTATGTCATTGGTAAATTGTCGCATTGTTTTATAGGTTGGCGGCCACGAAGATCCATTCTGTTCGCGCTATGGGATGCAACGAAATACGGCCATATTGGATCATTTGAATGGGTACAGGTATGTACACTCAGGTAGAGTAATTCTACAAAGGTCTGTATCTTTGTCGAGTTACAACCATTCATTTACTTGTATGGTCTGAAGGTATAGATATGTCAAGTTTTAATGGAAAATTAGTACAATAAAAATATCATAATACTGCAGTTTTCAGTAAAATTGTACACCAAATAAAATCACCTGGATTGCAAATATGTGACAAAAATATTGTTTTGATTTTGACAGGAGTATGAAAAACAGCTGTTGACTGGAGCCGTGGCCTATATAAACCTGGACGCAGTCATTAGAGGTGAGATTTATTATTATGTCCTTTTATTAAGTTAAGAAACATCATGGGGTGATTAAACCTTTAACAGTTCTGGTATAAACCTCAATGTTATCTAATGATCACTGAGTCAGAGTGTGCTTCAGAAACCTACACTTACTATTAAGAAATATTACAATATGTCAAAACTTTGCCAAGAAAAACTGTATTTGCATTGTTGCATATACAAAACAGGAATATACGAGAATTGGGCCGGTGATGTGGTAGTGTACTGAGATTAGGATGTCTTATTTAGAAACTTGCTGAACCAAAATTTAAACAATATCTTGTTTGTGTTTCTTAATCACTATAATCCCTATAATAAATAATTTATAATCTAATCTTACAACTATATGTGCCTACATGCAGCGGGATCATTTTTAGTTCACCTGGTCCGAAGGTGTATAAACAGTGTGTGTGGCCCCCCCTGGGGCTTGAGGGGCGGGGTCCCATAGGGGAAATAGAGGTAAAACCTTTAAAATCCTTCTTCTACCGTAGGGATTAAGGGATTTTATCCTAATTTAGTCTGGAGCATCCTTGGGCCAAGGGGACTCAAATTTGTAAAAATGGTGGATCTTTCTGAAATTTCATATGTACTTACAGCACCTACCATGGAGTGCTATATCTTTACTTCATACCAACTATTTCAAACATATTCAGGTGAGCGATACAGGCCCTCTGAGCCTCTTGTTCTGTGAATCAGATGAAGGACAAATTGGAGCTCCCTGACGAATCCCTCTGTAAATTATATATTTTAACCTTGATACAGGTAACTACTCCTTCTATGCTGAGGCAAGTCCACTGTTATATAGCGTCATCAAGACAGCGGCCGGTCAGGTTCCGTGTGTCGACCCGGACTACCACGACATGTCTGTGCTACAGATGTGGACCAAGAAGTTCCCCGACCTCACCAACAGTTCACAGCCCAGGTAGGGGAGGCAGGCTGTCTTGAAGGGTCTATGGCAGGCTAGTTTATCATAATTACTGCAAAGTCTTCAGATGACATCTCTAAAAGTTGCTGATGGATTGAGAACAAACGTTTGTGAAATCATGCATTACTGTGCGTGTCGCTCATTGATCGTCGCACTTGGGTTTAATTCATTTCGATTGGATCTACTTAACACAATATACACCATTCAGAATTTCTCTCAGCTAGATTTTGTTAGCTTCAACTGTGTATGAAACATGGCAAGCTATATATTTGTTAACTGCTTGTTACATGTATATGGTAATTATTTTGTAGGATCTATCCGTTGGAAGGTGACAGCGACCATTCTCCATTTTACTACTATCTTGGTGTACCTTCATTTTCACCAGCTTACACCTTTAATGTAAAGGTAAATATCGCTTAATTCAACACCTTTAATGTAAATGTAAATATCGCTTAATTCAACACCTTTAATGTAAATGTAAATATAGCTGAATTTAACACCTTTAATGTAAAGGTAAATATCGCTTATTTCAACACATTTAATTTAAATGTTAATATAGCTGAATTCAACACCTTTAATGTAAAGGTAAATATACCTTAATTCATCAGCTTTAATATAAAGGCATATATAGCTTAATTCAACACCTTTAAAGTAAAGATAAATATAGCTTAATTCAACACCTGCAATGTGTAGGTAAATATTGCTTAATTCAACAGCTTTAATGTAAAGGCAAATATAGCTGAATTAACACCTTTAATGTAAAGGTAAATATAGCTTAATTCAACACCCTTAATGTAAGGGTAAATATCGCTTTCAACACCTTTAATGTAAATGTAAATATAGCTTAATTTAACAGCTTTAATATAAAGGCAAATATAGCTTAATTCAACACCTGTTATGTAAAAGTAAATATAGCTTAATTCAATACCTGTTATGTAAAGGTAAATATTGCTTAATTCAATACCTGTTATGTAAAAGTAAATATAGCTTATTTCAACACCTGTTATGTAAAGGTAAATATAGCTGAATTAACACCTTTAATGTAAAGGTAAATATAGCTTAATTCAACACCCTTAATGTAAGGGTAAATATCACTTTCAACACCTTTAATGTAAATGTAAATATAGCTTTATTTAACAGCTTTAATATAAAGGCAAATATAGCTTAATTCAACACCTGTAATATAAAGGTAAATATAGCTTAATTCAACACCTGTTATGTAAAGGTAAATATAGCTTAATTCAACACCTGTTAAGTTAAGGTAAATATCGTTTAATTCAACACCTGTTATGTAAAGGTAAATATAGCTTAATTCAATACCTGTTATGTAAAGGTAAATATTGCTTAATTCAACACCTTTTATGTAAAGGTAAATATTGCTTAATTCAACACCTGTTATGTAAAGGTAAATATTGCTTAATTCAAAACCTGTTATGTAAAAGTAAATATAGATTAATTCAATACCTGTTATGTAAAGGTAAATATTGCTTAATTCAATACCTGTTATGTTAAGGTAAATATTGCTAAATTCAACACCTGTTATGTAAAGGTAAATGTAGCTTAATTCAACACCTGTTATGTAAATGTAAATATAGCTTAATCAATTATTCACAGCTGTGACTCGGACATATCAGAAATAAGTCTACTTTATACATGTAAAGGTAACTCAGCAGATTTGTAGTCTTTGCCACCATTTTAAGCTGGAAGGCACAGATTGGAAGCCCAGCATGTGTCAGACATCCTAACGCGGTCTTAAGGATCCCTGTCCCTCTGTAGGCAGAACACTAGGGATATGTTACAATTTTTGGTAGTGGTAAGAGGATCCTTAAAAAGATCAATATAGTGGATTTCGCTTATATCACTTCTCAATTGTCAGAGGAAAATATGATACACGTGTATTGTACAAACATTTTTTCTCAAGTTAATTCTTGTTTCATATTTTCATGTCCACATCTCATTATTTTGCACGTTTGTGAAATAACATGAATTTTTTTTAGGTTTGTTAGGAAGATTTCTTTGGATTATTTTAACATTGTATTAACATCTGAATAAGATCTCCCACACTCTGTAACAGCTATATAAACATTGTATTAACATCTGTATAAGATCTACCACACTTTGTTACAGCATTATAAACATTGTATTAACATCTGTATAAGATCTACCACATTCTGTTACAGCTATATAAACATTGTATTAACATCTGTATAAGATCTACCACACTCTGTTACAGCTATATAAACATTGTATTAACATCTGTATAAGATCTACCACACTCTGTTACAGCTATATAAACATTGTATTAACATCTGTATAAGATCTACCACACTCTGTTACAGCTATATAAACATTGTATTAACATCTGTATAAGATCTACCACACTCTGTTACAGCTATATAAACATTGTATTAACATCTGTATAAGATCTACCACACTCTGTTACAGCTATATAAACATTGTATTAACATCTGTATAAGATCTACCACACTCTGTTACAGCTATATAAACATTGTATTAACATCTGTATAAGATCTACCACACTCTGTTACAGCTATATAAACATTGTATTAACATCTGTATAAGATCTACCACACTCTGTTACAGCTATATAAACATTGTATTAACATCTGTATAAGATCTACCACACTCTGTTACAGCTATATAAACATTGTATTAACATCTGTATAAGATCTACCACACTCTGTTACAGCTATATAAACATTGTATTAACATCTGTATAAGATCTACCACACTCTGTTACAGCTATATAAACATTGTATTAACATCTGTATAAGATCTACCACACTCTGTTACAGCTATATAAACATTGTATTAACATCTGTATAAGATCTACCACACTCTGTTACAGCTATATAAACATTGTATTAACATCTGTATAAGATCTACCACACTCTGTTACAGCTATATAAACATTGTATTAACATCTGTATAAGATCTACCACACTCTGTTACAGCTATATAAACATTGTATTAACATCTGTATAAGATCTACCACACTCTGTTACAGCTATATAAACATTGTATTAACATCTGTATAAGATCTACCACACTCTGTTACAGCTATATAAACATTGTATTAACATCTGTATAAGATCTACCACACTCTGTTACAGCTATATAAACATTGTATTAACATCTGTATAAGATCTACCACACTCTGTTACAGCTATATAAACATTGTATTAACATCTGTATAAGATCTACCACACTCTGTTACAGCTATATAAACATTGTATTAACATCTGTATAAGATCTACCACACTCTGTTACAGCTATATAAACATTGTATTAACATCTGTATAAGATCTACCACACTCTGTTACAGCTATATAAACATTGTATTAACATCTGTATAAGATCTACCACACTCTGTTACAGCTTTATAAACATTGTATTAACATCTGTATAAGATCTACCACACTCTGTAACAGCTATATAAACATTGTATTTACATCTGTATAAGATCTATCACACTCTGTTACAGCTTTATAAAAACTTACCAACCTTCCCAGCCTATAGCACGTTAGAGGATACGATCAACTACCTACAAGTTTTCATCGATCCAAAGATGGAGTTACATGAAACAGTGTCCAAGGTGGTGTCGGACGTCATACTGAGGCTGGCAGACAGCGCCATTATTCCACTCGATACACAAAATTACATCTCCATTTTTGAAAATGGAAAAACATATTTACAGACACTGAAATCTGTGTTTGTAGTCGCTAATGTCAATCTTGGTAGGTATAAACAGTGATGTGGAATCATTATTAAAGTATTAAACAATGATCAGAATTGTTATTTATAAAGATATGATGTGGAATTTTTCTTAATCCCTTACCGGTTTTCTGGGGAGGGGGAGATCATAGGATTTTCACTCCATCCGTCCATCCAAAGAGTTTCTCCGGGTTCTCCGGGGTATATCTTAAGCTTATACACTACGGGGTATATCTTCTATACTCCGGGGTATATCTTGTATACTCCGGGGTATATCTTGTATACTCTGGGGTATATCTTCTACAATCCGGGGTATATCTTCTACACTCTGGGGTATATCTTCTACACTCCGAGGTATATCTTCTATACTCCGAGGTATATCTTCTACACTCCGAGGTATATCTTGTATACTCTGGGGTATATCTTCTACAATCCGGGGTATATCTTCTACACTCTGGGGTATATCTTCTACACTCCAAGGTATATCTTCTATACTCTGGGGTATATCTTCTACACTCTGGGGTATATCTTCTATACTCTGGGGTATATCTTCTACACTCTGGGGTATATCTTCTACACTCCGAGGTATATCTTCTATACTTCGGGGTATATCTTCTACAATCCGGGGTATATCTTCTACAATCCGGGGTATATCTTCTACACTCCGGGGTATATCTTCTACACTCTGGGGTATATCTTCTACACTCCGAGGTATATCTTCTATACTCTGGGGTATATCTTCTATACTCTGGGGTATATCTTCTACACTCCGGGGTATATCTTCTATACTTCGGGGTATATCTTGTATACTATATGGGGTATATCTTCTACACTCTGGGGTATTTCTTCTACACTCTGGGGTATATCTTGTATACTCTGGCGTATATCTTCTACACTCCGGGGTATATCTTCTACACTCTGGGGTATTTCCTCTACACTCTGGGGTATATCTTGTACACTCTGGCGTATATCTTCTACACTCCGGGGTATATCTTCTACACTCTGGGGTATTTCTTCTACACTCTGGGATATATCTTGTATACTTTGGGGTATATCTTCTACACTCTGGGGTATTTCTTCTACACTCTGGGGTATATCTTCTACACTCCGGGGTATATCTTCTATACTCCGGGGTTTATCTTCTACACTCCGGGGTATATCTTTACACTCTGGGGTATGTCTTGTACACTCCGGGGTATATCTTCTTTACTCTTGGGTATATCTTCTAAACTATTATAACTGGAGTTACCAAATTTGGTGTACATTTTGGGATAGCAGAGTGTCAAATACAAAAAGTCGTTTACTGTGACCTATGATTTGACCTTTGAATTTAACATTTGAAAAAGTTTGTTTAGGGCATAATCTTCTATACTATTTAACATGGAGTAACCAGAGTTGGTATGCAAGTATATTTTTTCTGGCGGAGTGCAGAGTACAAGTACTAATTCACTTTTAACTATATTTTGAGATAGGTGTACAAGCTTGATAAAAAAAAAAAAATACTGGTGGGGGAATATGGATTGTTTGCCTTGTTAAAGTATAAAACAGTGATGTGGATTTATTAGATATAAAACAATGATGTGAAAGTAATGCTTGTTTTATAACAGATGTGCATATATGAGAAAGTATTGTTTTGTTGTATTTTCAGATACTTTAATTGCAAGAATTGATGATTTTTCAAAAACTGTCTTCACATTTTCATCAAATATAACAAATTTAGATGTATCTAAATTAAAGTAAGTATATATCACTGATTTACTATAACAACTATTTATATCATAAAGCTGGCATTATACAGAAATATATAAGGAACTTCAGAACAAGCTTTTATGTCAAATTTGAATTTGTTGCCAGGACATCGTTGTAAGTTAAGGGTTAAGCTGTGAATGTATCTGCTGTAGACCCCTGGAATATGTCTTGACAATAATAAAGGGTCTTTATGTGAGACCTTGTGAATGAAAGTCTTTAGTCTAAATATTTATAACCTACAATGTAGATATCATCTATACATATGTATTGGTGTCGGGATGATTTTGTGTTAGTTTACTTGACTCAAAAAGGGAAGAATTTCCACCCTGCAAACATTTCCGGTTCTACATGCAGTGTTATACCATACATAATATATTTTGAAATTTATGTTAGGGCTTTGACTGATAAAAAATGTTTAAATAGTTTGAAAATAGAACATCAATATCACTCCTATCATGAATCTGTATATGATACCTGTGTTTTACCCCTGTGTTTTACCTGTGTTTTACCTGTGTTTTACTTTGTTTTACCTGTGTTTTACTTTGTTTTACCTGTGAAACACTTTGTTTTACCTGTTAAACACTTTGTTTTACCTGTGAAACACTTTGTTTTACCTGTTAAACACTTTGTTTTACCTGTGTTTTACTTTGTTTAACCTATGTTTTACCTGTGTTTCACTTTGTTTTACCTGTGTTTCACTTTGTTTTACCTGTGTTTTACTTTGATTTACCTGTATTCCAGTGAATATCACTTACATCACCTGAACCACAAACTAGTACAGGTACCACGAGTATTTATAATACCTGAAGGGTTACCTGGACAACCACAGTACAGGTACGTCATTCACAACGTTAAAACCTACTTTTAGCTAATTTTACCAGTGTACTTCCGGAGAGATACATGTTAACACTCTGTCAGGCTGTCACTTGTACAGTGGATATCTCGTATAGTCTATCAATTACGAGGCCTGATTTTGTGTGTACCGGCCTCTTTGAATGATAAAGTGTCATGTACTAAAATCAAAATCATATCTTGCCCCAAACTACATTATATTATAAAGTTATAGACTTAAGGTGAGGTCTGTAAATGAGCTACTGACCTGATCTGAGCAATATTCATCAAGGCAGAAGTCCAAGGTAAATAGTGCTCAGACCAAGTCCGTAAATCATGGCTGAACTAAAACTGAAGTCAACAATTTTTATATTGTGTGTCATTTACAATCCGCCCACTCATCCCAAAGGTGACAATCGAATCACTCTTAAACAAAGGATGACATAGTCCATTATGGTCTGTAACACATAATTCTGTTCTTAAAATTCAGTCTTTGAAAGATTTCCAAATTCATTACTAGACATCGTGTTGTTCAACTTCACGTGGTGATGTGTATTGATGTGTAAATGTTCCATCGTTTAATCCTGTATCCCTGTTACAGAAACATTCTTATGTCGCCACATCCGGAGGATCTCAACTCACAACAAGTGTTCCCCGGGATCGCAGCGGCACTCAAAGACGCTCTCAACGACCAGAATTGGTTACCAATGAAAAAACAGATCTCTTATTTATTAATAGCCTTACGACAGGCCACAGACTTACTTAGTGATAGCATTCTGGGGGAAACTCTATGACTCTAGTAAGGATCAATGTTTCATTTTTCAATTTTACTGTTGTTTCCTTTTCTGATTTTAATGTGCGTAAGTAAGCTTAATCAGAGTGTAAACAACAGATTCACAGATATTACCTGTGATTCTGATTGAGTGTAAGCTGAGTGTTAAAAACAGATTCCCAGATATTACCTGTGATTCTGATTGAGTGTAAGATGAATCAGAGTGTAAACAACAGATTCACAGATATTACCGGTGATTCTGATTGAGTGTAAGATGAATCAGAGTGTAAACAACAGATTCACAGATATTACCGGGGATTCTGATTGAGTGTAAGATGAATCAGAGTGTAAACAACAGATTTACAGATATTACCTGTGATTCTGATTGAGTGTAAGCTGTGTGTTAAAAACAGATTCCCAGATATTACCTGTGATTATGATTGAGTGTAAGATGAATCAGAGTGTAAACAGCAGATTCACAGATATTACCTGTGATTCTGATTGAGTGTAAGCTGAATCAGAGTGTAAACAACAGATTCACAGATATTACCTGTGAGTCTGATTGAGTGTAAGATGAATCAGAGTGTAAACAACAGATTCACAGATATTACCTGTGATTCTGATTGAGTGTAAGATGCATCAGAGTGTAAACTACAGATTCACAGATATTACCTGTGATTCTGATTGAGTGTAAGATGAATCGGAGTGTAAACAACAGATATTACCTGTGATTCTGATTGAGTGTAAGCTGAGTGTTAAGAAATTTGATAACTGCAGCTGTGAATTGCCTACTGATGTATATTGTACTTATTAGTGTAATGATGTCAATGTAGATAAATGTAACAAAATAAGTTAAAAATGTAAACGAAGTTTTTGATATGTACATAAAAAAGCACATCAGAATTTACTGCTAAAATAATTTAATGGTACTGCTAAGAGAATACATCGCTATAATGCATTTTTAGAACAAATTGTGTATAAATGGGGTATGTATTGATGGGGGTATGTATTAATGGGGTATGTATTAATGGCATACGAGATAGTTGTCAAGTGAGAAAATGTATGTGTGTGTATGTAAACTATGTAAACTGGGAGTCTGGTCCTGTATTTGTAAATACTGTAAAGTAAGGTGACCAGCAGTGGGATTATAAAACTAATGTTTAAATAAGAGTGATGGTTTAAGGTTTATAAATTCTCTCACTCCGATGTGTGTACACTAATTTAATTCAATATGCCAGTCTACCAGTATTAATGTGTGTAACAAAGGCCATTATTTTTTCAATGCCTCTACCAGGAGTCGAACCCAGGACCTCTGGCTTACTAGACTTACGCTCTACTGAACAAGCTAAAGAGAAGTTCTCGCTAGCAGAGTCGGTAGGAAGGGCTAGTATTTTACCAGGGTGACCTGTATGACAGACAAACTGCTGTGTATATCATTTCAATTTGGTTTAGAGGAAGAAAAAAGGGTTTTAGCTAAGTAATAAAGATCATTAATGCGCTTGATTTATCAAAAAGATGTATGTAAACCAGAACTTACTTACTAAGGTTAAAAGTTATACCAGAAAATCTTGAGAGACAGGTTCACTTTTCAGGATATTGTTATGATCAGGACATATTTAAACCTGTTAGTGAGGCCCTCTTTGGATATTAATGCACATTTTTAAATCTATCTTGAAATCCTAAAATCTGTGGTGAACATCGCATACACATATTTTAATTTTCTAAAAACTGTTTTTCTGTTGAATTGAAAGTTTTACCGGTACATTAATTGAAATTTACTTCTCTTTTTTTTAATTATTATTATTATTATTTTTTGCCAATACATATGAATTGGCTTTCCATACTGCCAAAATACAGAAAAATGGAAACAAATTCATGAAAAGTGATTTGGTAAAAAACGTGCAGATATATTAATCTAGTTTGCATGTCTGTTTGTGGGGAGATGGAGAATTTATCTTTATCAACAGGTGCATTATGATCCTAGTTTCATTGCAATCAAGCTAAGAGACCCAAAGCATTCATTTTAAACATTGTCTAGTATGTTTGATGTATTTGGGATGTATATCTACTGTCATCCTTGATATACCTTCATTGTAAACTTAAATTTTCCATATTTCTAACGACTATCAAAAGATCATGTATTGATTAACTGTAAAATGATAATATACAACATTTATATAGCGCTCCATATAATTTGTAAAATTACTCTAAAGCGCTTTACAACATATGGATAGTAGTATTAGTTATATAATTGTTAAACAAAGAAGGCGTACAATCACCATTAATACAGTATAAGCAAGAAGATGCACATCTCAGTGTGCACATAAAAGAATATGCATCAGTAGATTGATTGATGTGAAGTGGTTATCTACATTAATGACCTAAAACACAAAAGTTCTTCAATTTAATGACAAGAATTCTGCCAATAGATGGTACACAGCAGTGAATAGGACAAACTAGGATATTACAAAGTACTGTATAACGGTTATTTTTCGCAGGGTTTTTACTTTCGCTATATTCCCGCTTTAACTGATATCCGCGAATACTAAACACCAGCGAAATTATCGAAAACGTTAAACCACTTTTACAAACCTTATCACAACATGTTGAACATACTTATAACCCAACGCTGTTATGCAAACTTAAATGAACTCAAATCAGATTATCACCGGATAACTGGGCAGTCTTGTGAAAACAACTCTTACATATAAGTGGCCAAAACATATTTATGTGTACACAGTAGGTGATTAATGGATTACAGTTTACTCCTACAAAGGTACATACACATTTGATTTTCTTTCGAGTGAAGTCACTGGCGGATGACGACGCTAGGGATCAGTGTTTTCAAACGGTTTACCTGTATTTCGAGGTTTAACCCTAAAATGATGACACTCAAAATACTTTGCACAACACATTGGGATTCGGGTGCACTATGAAATTTTACGCCCCCCGCCCCCAACCTGCAACAAAGGAAGGATGAACAGAGATGTTTCCTTAATAAAGTATTGATATATTGATATATTAAACAAAAGATGGCTGAATTATTTAGGCTCCACTATAGATATATTATAGTGTGTCGATATGTCCTGCTGATACTGTTATTTCTAAATTCATGAAATTGTTTACATTTTCACAGTATTTCAACAGTATTACAAATTTCAAGATTTTGAAACAATCAAAAAAAAAAAGAAATATATTACTAATATATTAGTATAGTGATGTGTACATTTTTCCTGACTTCATCCCAGTATTACATAATAACAGTAGAGGTTATACGTGTAATATGCTCAGTTAAAGTGCTGGTTTTCTCTCAGAATTAAAACAGACGTATCGGTATCGACTACTCACTTCAGTTATAGAAGCTGGCTGTAACAGGTGTGTGGTATCGTATAATTTCCATACCAATCCGAACTTGTTCCACGGCTTGACAAGTGTGCTCTATCACATATAACAGTGTGTCGTAGGGCTAACAGTGGCCCCTATTTTATGTGCATTTGAAGAAACTTAATGTGACTTAAGACCTGTCTAAATATTCAAATGTGAATTAAGTCCGCTATTTTGAAACATGCCAAGTATTAAGATTAAGAATTGTCTTCCAAAACGTACATGCATCGTAACCATTATAGTTTAGTTGTTTTAATTTGACATCGATCTATTTCCCCTTTTCATACTTCATGGAAACAATATCATAAATAAATCATTGAGCTATTTGATGACTAATTTGTGAATGAGATAATCGGCTAAATTTCCCACTCCATACATTGTTTAAGGAAAATAACAGGGCACAACTTTGAACGTCGTCTTGAGTTTTGGACATATTGCTTATAAGTTTAGTGTGTGTTTACAGGTAGATTACTATAATCATCTTCCAGAATGACATTCAGTATGACAATTACTGTAGATTGTAGAAAGGAGAGATCTATTTTTATATTTGATGCAGCGTGAAATGTTGGTGTGTGGGAGAAAGAAAATAATCCAAGGTACATTATGTAAATAAAATGTAAATACAAAAGGCCTAGCTTGATACATACTAGGTCGGGCCTAGCTTGATATAGTTCTGTAGGTAAACAGTTTACTTACCTGCAGTATATTTACAAAATTTGATTTCGGAATGATCAACCTCTGTTTGTTGATGAATAGAGACATCATTTAACATTTCCTTGTAAATATCCTCAGTGTTGAGTTTTTTCCTGGGTTACCTCCCCTACATCATGTTGCCAACTCTTTCTCCTGTATATTTAATGTTTTATAAAGATAATCACCTCAGACATTGTTTGAGACATGTAATCAATCATTCATAAATTAACAATTAGTAGATATATGAAGCCAGGATCTCTTGAAAAATAATAATTAAAAAAATTATATCAATAACTTCCGTCTGTAATTTGTTATAAAGTTGATACTGTTTCGGCTGTTTGCTACATATGATTTATTTTGTGGTTGTGTTATATAAGAAGGAAATCATTTTTTTATTACGTTGATGTCATCATAGGATATTTATTTTTTCAATATTTATATTAATTCAATTCTTTTTAAGAACCGTAGTGATTTTCAGATATTTCTTATGGAAGAAAAAACTTTTTTTTCTCCATGTGACCGAGTACTTCTTACAATAAACCTTATTTGATGATAGTGTAAAATACTGCTGCGCTCCACATCTCTGTACAAAACTTCCATCTGCTGAAATTAACATTTGTTTTTCTTCGTCTTTCTATTGAAAGTCACCTGGAAATTGCTCAATCCAGAATACTTTAAACTCTTAATGTCTTTGTCATTGACAAGCTTCTATATAACATAGATTTTAGGATTAAAAGTTGTATTTTATACATTTTTTAAACGATATCACTATAATATTACCTGTAGAATAGGGTAAATCTTATAAGGTGTTTTACTCTCTTGTTCACTGATTTTGAAATGAAACATATTTTAAACTAAAGGAAAAATCATTCTCATGGCAAGGCTCTTCACATGTATAAAGTTTTACATTGTAAAGTTGTGAACTTTATTTAAATTGGCTGCGTTTTGTGTTACAGCATTTGGGACATATAATTTGGACTTTGAACGTTCACTAACGGCGTTCAGTCTAGACTCGTGTCTATATTGTCATGTGATCTGATTTACCATAATACCATTTGATCTGACTGATCATAACACCATTTGATCTGACATAACCTAACACCATGTGATCTGACATACCCTAACACCATGTGATTTGATATACCCTAACACCATGTGATCTGACATACCATAACACCATGTGATCTGACATACCTTAACACCATGTGATCTGACATACCCTAACACCATGTGATCTGACATACTCTAACACCATTTGATCTGACATACCCTAACACCATTTGATTTGACATACCCTAACAACATGTGATCTGACATACCCTAACACCATGTGATCTGACATACCTTTACACCATTTGATCTGACTTATCATAACACCATGTGATCTGACATACCCTAACACCATTTGATTTGACATACCCTAATACCATGTGATCTGACCTACTCTAACACCATGTGATCTGACATACCCTAACACCATTTGATTTGACATACCCTAACACCATTTGATTTGACATACCCTAACACCATGTGATCTGACATACCCTAACACCATGTGATTTGACATACCCTAACACCATGTGATTTGACATACCCTAACACCATGTGATCTGACATACCCTAACACCATGTGATCTGACATACCCTAACACCATGTGATCTGACATACCCTAACACCATGTGATCTGACATACCCTAACACCATGTGATCTGACATACCCTAACACCATGTGATCTGACATACCCTAACACCATGTGATCTGACATACCCTAACACCATGTGATCTGACATACCCTAACACCATGTGATCTGACATACCCTAACACCATGTGATCTGACATACCCTAACACCATGTGATCTGACATACCCTAACACCATGTGATCTGACATACCCTAACACCATGTGATCTGACATACCCTAACACCATGTGATCTGACATACCCTAACACCATGTGATCTGACATACCCTAACACCATGTGCTCTGACATACCCTAACACCATGTAATCTGACATACCCTAACACCATGTGATCTGACTTACCATAATGTCATGTGACTTGGACTTAACCTTTATCATATGATCTTGACCATTCTGTGGTTTTTGGACACAAAGAGTTCGGAACCAAAGACTACTTACTACAGCCGAAGGTAACAAACAACTTGTGGAGTTATTTCCCTTGTATAATAATTAAAAGCACCAACCAAATTTAGCACATAGTGCCATAGAAATATTATTATACATTTTGTTGTGGATAATTAAATGCTGAATATAGATAAGGAAATAACTATTATAGAATATACAACATATTACCAAAAATACTTGTAATTATTGGGCTTATATAAATCAGTACTTTTTTATTATTTAATCCTTTAACTACCCTTTTACCGCTGATAACAATGATATAAATCTCAGTCATCTGACCTGAAGGACCTAGATAACTAATAGCCATCACACTGAGTCTGCAATCTGTAAACTTTTTTTAAGTTTTTCTCAAATGTCACTAGTAGGATTTAATGGATTAATCCTGAAATTTTGCAAAGTGTTGTTAGATTTTAGCTGTCTGAAATCCATGATGGCCATTTATGCAAAAAAAAGTCAATCTAAAGTTTTCCTGGGTGATTTTGCTGAAACTTTTTATAAATTGTTTTAAAAATGTAGTCTTGTAGTTAAACTCAGACATTATTCTCAACTGTTCAGAGATTGGGTGTTCATTTTGCTCAAGTCTGACTCACATCTATGTTTGACGTTCATCTGGATCACATAGACTCTTAGCTATGTTTTTGGCTGCTTTAACCATCGTTACAGGAAGGACCAGTAGCAAAAGCCTACATACTGTAATTTTTTGGATTCATTTCAAAATTAAACATGGTGGCTAGCCTATGGTCACCATGTTGTAATGCGCTATTATTTGTTTGTCTGGCAGCAGTAGTTTACATTTCAAACTTCTTTTCAAACTTTACAATGTAGGATCTATTTGAAACCACTAAGCAATAGAACTTAGTTAATGCTGACCTAATGGTGTATGATATCAAATCTATGACATAATTTTATCATGAGTTACCAATGGGTCTTGGGAACAAATACACTGTAATGGATTAACTCGTTCACCCCTGAAGACACATTAGAACTCTTCCAATTCAAAGGCTGGAATATTTCATTATGAAATTTCAGAGGTAAATGAGTTTAGAAAGGGTGGCCGATTAAAAATCTCAGCTATCAAACATGAAGTCCTTGAAGTCAGATGACTGTTAAGGCCCATTGGGCCTGTTGTTAGTTTGTAATTTTGATTATTTTCCATCAGGTTATATTTTTTATTCACATATTAACTGTTTAGTTGTAAATGCATAATTTTTAAGTCACCTATGTTTTATGTTAGGTGTATACCTGTATGTTTTATGTTAGGTGTATACCTGTATGGTGTATACCTGTGTGTTAGGTGTACACCTGTATGTTAGGTGTATACCTGTATGTTAGGTGTATACCTGTATGTTAGGTGTATACCTATACGTTAGGTGTATACCTGTATGTTAGGTGTATACCTGTATGTTAGGCATATACCTGTATGTTAGGTGTATACCTATATGTTAGGTGTATACCTATATGTTAGGTGTATACCTGTATGTTAGGTGTATACCTGTATGTTAGGTGTATACCTGTATGTTAGGTGTATACCTGTATGTTAGGTGTATACCTGTATTTTGTGTATATTTATTTACGGTGGTGGTGGTTTTACTCTTTGTGATATTTTTGCTATTTTAGTGATGTCGTCCCATTCCATTTCATAAATTCACTATTCAAAGAAGCTTTATAGATATTAGAAATATTGTTTACATAGTTTGTGATTAAGTTGGAGTGTAATTCATGGTATTTTTTATTTATTTTTTAATATTTAGCTTACCTTGATATAGCTCAATAACCTCATCTTGACTTAGCTCACCTTTGGCCTAGGCATTTTAAAGCTCATTTTGATTAAGTTCACCCTTGACCTACGTTTTTTTAGCTCACTTTGAGTTAGCTCACCTTGACCTACAGTTTTTTAGCTCACTTTGAGTTAGCTCACCTTGACCTACGGTTTTTTAGCTCACTTTGAGTTAGCTCACCTTGACCTACGTTTTTTTTAACTCACTTTGAGTTAGCTCACCTTGTCCTACATTTTTGTAGCTCACCTTGACCTACATTTTTGTAGCTCACTTTAATTTAGCTCACCTTGACCTACATTTGTGTAGTTCACTTTGATTTAGCTTTTTATGACCTACATTTGTGTAGATCACTTTAATTTAGCTCACCTTGACCTACATTTTTGTAGCTCACTTTGATTTCGCTTTTCATGACTTGCCTGTACCAAGATTTATTGAGTACTAACACATTATAGTAGAATTTGAATCATTGATATTTTTGGTATTGTTAAGAGTACAACAAAAAAATGGTATGCATTTGGATTTTAAATGATCATCTTTAAGTTAACAAACATAAAAATGCTGATATTTTACATGTTTTCAAAAATCATTTTTCAAACTTGACTTAACGTATCAGTAGAGGTACGGTATAAAGCATGACTCACCTTTTGTTGTTTGTGTGGTTGTAAGTTATATAGACGTGAAATTGTCATTAATTATAATAACGGCCAAAAATCTAGATTGCACTGTCGTATTTTCTTTTAACATACATGTAGCTACATTGTAGCCATTGAGAAGGACTATCGGAGAAAGCATTACATATTTGGAAAAGGGACGCTAAACATTGGTCTACTACCGACTCATCAGCGTATCAAATTGTATATTTCAAAGTTTTACCGAGTTTATGTTAGTGAGAGTGGGAGATGTGAGGTAGAAACTAGAAATCCTTATTTCCATGTAATATAGATAACGGTGATCCAAGGAATGTACGAAATAAAAATTACATGTACATTATAGTGTTCTGTGATTTTTGGGGGAGATTTTAAAATTATTTTAATTAGTGGACACAGGTATTGCTGCCTCTATATCCACATCAATATAGTTTGGACTACACTGTGGTAAACATAAAACAAGCCTATATATAAGAGGCTGTATGATGAATTCGTCCAAGTTTATCTCAAAGTCAAATACGTTACAAGATGAAATGACATCGTGTGCAAATATTCTTTGAGTAAAGTGATGTTTTCTAATATTTAAATGACAATTGTTGTTTGAGTATTGTTTTACTGTGTCCGCGAGTTTTTCCTTGAGCGGCGAGATCGATCAATCCCTCCACTAAATTCAGATCATATAGTCTATTCATAAACTTGAACACGTTGATCATATCTAGATCTTGTATGTTCGAGTTGGAAGCTTCAATCGGCGCTAGTCTCTCGCTGTAGCTAATGGTCTTAAATCCGGGGAGTAATTTTGAAGATCTTCTTTGAACGTTCTCTATCCTTTCGATTTCCTTAATTTTGTGCGGACTCCACACTTGCAGCGTACTCTAAATGAGGTCAAACTAGCACTTTAAAACGATTTGTGAACATATTTTCGTCCAAATATACAAATGATTACAAATATGACACCTACGATGCTGTTAGCTTTATTTATTGCCTGTTGGATATGCCTTGTAAAGCTCAAGTCCCGGTGTACTACAACCCCTAAATCTTTCTCCAATGCTGTAGTTTCTCCTCCCTTGTCCGTTAGATGATATCGTGGTTCTCTCGTTTTATGTTTTGTTGACACAGTCATAACTTTACACTTCTTAGGATGAAAAATTAATAACCATTTATCCAACCATTTTATCAAATTGCAGAGATCATCTTGGAGTAAGCTTTCATCGGTATCATCCGATATTGTTTTGTACAGCTTAGTGTCACCAGCAAACATAAAGGTTGGGGAAGACGTGTTTTCCGGTAGGTCGTTATGTATATGACGAAAAGTACAAGACAAATTAGTTCATCTTATTACACTTAACCCTGAGGACACACATCAAATTATATATTATAGAGTTGTTTGCTATTATGGATTATTACTGTATCGCAATCAACAAAATATCCTTGAGTGATATTATCGCCTCGTTACTTGTATGTAAGCTTTATCTGTGGGTTTAATTTCATGGTCTTAAACAGTAAAACATCACATAAGTGAGTTTGACAATGTCCTATCAATTAAGGTCATCGTTAGACCTATTTTAACTTCTGTTCTTCAAGCTCAAAACAAGATATACAAGTCTAGGGAACAGGAGTATATATACATGTACAAGGGAAATCTGAAATTTCAGAAAGATGTGTCAAGTACGTCATGAGAAATAGTGAAACAGATATTAAATCAATTTAAATGTCAAAATCAAAGATGGCTGTCTGGCTAGTGTAGAACCTGCACACTCTAGAAAAACCTACATATGAAATTTTAAACAGATCTGGTTAGTACTGTACTTCCCAAGACAGCAATAACAAACTTGAACTGTCAAAATTAAAAATGGTTGTCTGGCGGCAATCTTGTATTTCCAATCAATCTAAAATGAAACGTGTATAACAAGGGGAAACTATTATAAAATTTGAGAAATATCTGTAAAGTACGTGCTTTCTGAGAAATAGCGATAACAACCTGGAGCTGTCAAAAGCCAAGATGGCGGCCGTCTTGTCGTTCCGATCAGTTTCAATATGAAACATGCACAACTACAAACCAAAGGGACCCACATACAAAAAAAATATATAAGACTTGTTTAAAACAGATCTGTCAAGTCCTTTTTGAGAACTAACTGTAACAAACTTAAACTGTCAAAATCCACGATGGCTGTCTGACTGCCATCTTGTTTTCAAGGCCAGCCTGAAAATGTAACATTAACCCACAAAAGACAGAAGAAAATTTTCATAAAAAAAGTTGAGAAATAATTTCCAGTAAAAAGATGTGTTTAATTTGATTAAAACTCTTTGCTCTTTGGCAGCCTTAGTTGTTTTCTGATCAAATGACTTAAAAGCTCAAAACATGAACATCCAGAGAACAGGAAGATTTTATTTGTACAAGAGAAATGTACTGAAAATTCAGGAAAATCTGTCAAGTTCTTCTCTTGAAAACGCAACAACAAACTTAACCTGTCAAAATCCAGGACGTTTACAAAAGTCTGTTGTAAATAAATGTTTTGGTGTCGGATGTACTGACGGGGGTGACCAGATCGTCAGGGAGGCTGTTCCAATCAGTTGTGATACAGGGGGGAAAACGGTTCTTGAAAATATCAATGGTACACGGAAACAGACGGAAGTTTCCACTGATGTTTTTATCTGGTCCAATCATTTGTTACAGCCAATATTAGATTCACAGGTAGAACCACAAACCCGAGTTTCATCTGGCCCTAACACCAGATTTAGACATTTTGACATATAGATGTCCCACACCAGACATAGGGGCAAAACGAAATCAGCCGCTGGCAATCCGAAAGGAAGTCGAAACACGAAGTCTTTATTTGCTGACCCCGCTGTGCGAACCAAACTCTAAACTTTGATTATAGACATGGGTGTGTGTCTACAGAAAAACATATACTGTTTAATCTTTGTCGGCAGTCACTATTACATTGTCTGTTTGCAAGAACAGAACTAAGCAATGTTGATCACCAAGGTAACCCTATCTATTCACTTTCCAGTTTTTCGAAAGACGAAATACTAGCTAATTATGTGATGACTCAGTGCACCAGTTTTACCATAAAATACGAAACTTCACCATTTGGAATCTATAACAGTTTATTTGCAAGTGAAGCACTTGGGGAGTAACATGGCGTGTCAGACGTGCGGTAAAATACTGCCAAAAAATCAAAGAATAAATTTACGAAAGGGCCTTATATAATGATATTGACATATTCATAAGAGCGAAGCTCACGGGTGTCGTAGGCACCCGAGCGGAGCTCTTTACCGGTAACATGTGCGTGTAAATAGATCTGATCCAAACTTCCATCACTATATCGTACAGCTACAGCCTAGAAACTTTTCGTACTTCCGGTGACCTGTTCCGGTTCAGGGAGCCCGTACATAAGCCTAATCATAGACCTAAAGTAAAGGGACCGCCGACTCCCAGTGGCGGGAAAATATGTTACCGATTTCGCAGTGCCCTCACCGGGTGTCATACAATATCAAGGCCGATAACTCGTACCGTCTATTCGCCATTGGTAAACACTCGAGTGCTGTCGATAGAAATATTGTTAAGCATCGATTTCACACAACATGAATTAAACGAACTGTGTGAGGTATGTGTGTTATTCTAATATCATATTCCCACACCTGAAATAGAAAAAAAGCAATATCTAAAGCATTATTCGTGGTCAATAACATAATGTTCACGAAGCAGCCGAGTCGGATTTTTTCAGTTTTTAGTCTGTGGTTTCACTTTCACTTCACCGGTCAGGTGCCGTTCTGGTGATAACCTCTTGTGAGAACATTCGCCTATTTTGTATGTCAATACTTGTCCACAATATATTTGTAATCAATGTGCCTTGTATGTATACTATGCTATGTAGTGAGCTGCACCCTCATGTACAAGCTGACAAGTACACATGCCGTGATGATGATGGTTCCCTTGTTGATGATGGTTCCCTTGTTGACTCACTCTCTGGTTCCGGACAGCAATATAAATATCCTAAACCTTCTTGGACACGTCCCGTGTATACTTTAGGCCATGTTGCTTTATGTTTTCAAAAATAATCATAAGAATAAGAAAGCAAATATTAATAATCAGATTATTGTTTTTATTGCACATAATCTCATAAATTTATAATATGAAATTAACGGTAACAACTTAAATATAACATTTTTGTCTTCTCAATTATTTTTTATTACATACAGCTTCATACTCAGCCTCTCACAAACATGTGACATCATATAAAATTATAATAATGTAAACAAATGAGTCATTACAATAACAAGTACCGTGTCATTATTTGGAGTAGAAAGATATATTTTTTAAATTAAATAAAAACAATTAAATCACGACCACATGTTTACCTATATTACACTTGTCACCGTGCAGTGGATTCCACTAAAATTGCATACAGGTCTGTTAATAACTTAATAGTTTTTTTTCTTTAATTATTTTAACTTATTTGCATATTTTGGTGTATATTTCTGTTAATAACATATTTCTGTCAATAAAATATTTCTCTTAATTGCATATTTCTGTTAATAAATTCTTTTCGAGGAAAATATAATAAAATATAGATCTTAACAGCCAGTCAGTGTATTACGGTTAATTGCAAATTTCTCATACATTGGCATTATGTGGACTATCCAAAATAAGAAGAATTTTCTGGTTTTGGTGCTCGAGTCTACACAACAAAATTCACCTCTCTGTGCTGCAAATAGTCAAATGGTAATTTCAGATATTTTCCACCCGTACAGGGGCGGATCCAGAAATTTTGAAACGGGGGAAGGGGGCGAAGATTTGTATGTGTCACGGAGGGGGGCTGTAAGCAAATTAATATGGCATAAGTCGTTTTTTATGTACAAAAAAAATCCTGAACAAGGGGGGCAAATCCACCCTTGCCGTATAGTATATAATAAAAGATTTTAATATTATAATAATAATAATGGACGTTATTTACCCTCGGTTACCATCTTGAGCCATCAGCTCTTTTTGAGAGATAGCCGAGCGGGAATAGTATTTACAATATTTACAGGAGACGGGGAATTTTATTATTTACACCTACACAGGGTTTTTTATGATGGAGGAAACAGAAGGACTGAGAAAACCATCATGTCACCAGAGAGATCTAGCAGGAAACTCTATAGACATACCAGGGCTCGAACCTAAACACTATATCGGTCTATTGCTCCATGGCGGTCACGCACCACTGAACTACCTTGTCCATGCATTATACCACCGAGCCACTGGGACACCCGAAATATTGACTTTTGAAAGTATACATAATTACATATCTGATAAGTGATTTATTAATTGACCTGTGAACAAATTCCTGGTC